GTGTAGGTTTGTTTCCCCTCTTGCATTTGCTTTTATAAGATGTAGGGCTTCCCAAACAGTGTTTTCTAAACATAGCTTCTTGGGATGTGTTCTTTATTGCTGGCCTGCAAGTTTGGCAAGTGACTTGTGTGTTTTATTCTCTTCAACAGGCTCAGGGTTAGCTTTCTAACAGGTCTGAAGAGAAAGCAAATATTTTCTGCAATTAGCAGTTGGCCTCACCTCTCGGCAGCATGGTCATCTGGGGGTTTTCCTTTCCTTCCTGGGGTAAGTCTGGACGTTGAGGGCACAGTGCTGGTTAGCGAGCAGCCAGGCTGCAGGCACTGGGTGCCTTACGGTCGCTGCCAGCACCAGTGGCCTGAGCCTTTAGCACAAGCATGTGTGTGCAGGAGGTTGCAAGGAGGTGATGCAGCCACTGACCTGTTTGCACAGGGCAGGACAGAGCAGCGACAAAGCTGCTGGATACGAGTCACGGCTAAGATGTTTGTGATTCTGTTTTTAGCTGTATTTGCAACAGTCTCCAGCTGTTACCTTTGGACTGCCTCTAGGTACTTCTATACTGGAGATAAAGGGGATAAAGCACTACATTTTTTTCTTTGTACATCACAGTCTGACATTCTCCCATCCCCTGCTTTATATTCTTATTATTTTTATGCTGTCCATCAATGTAGTGATGCCCAACTGGTTTATATTTATGATCCCAGAGGTTGTTTGACTTACCCTTGTTTGCTGATCCTCATAGATCTGTGTTTCTTCCCTTCCTATCTGGCTTCTGAGCTGAGGAAACATAACTTTAATTTAGTTTTTTTATTCTATTTGCAAAAGGAGAGACTGGGAGGTCAGGTTCTGAAGTGGAGTTCAGTGCTTATGTAGGAGTGTGACCAAACAGTAGAGCCTATAGGACTAACAAGGCTCAGTGGTGCAGGGGTGGTGGTGCTCCTTCCCTTTTGATGTGTGTCCTACTGATGGTCTCATCCCATAGCCAGAGGTGGGAAGTGCCTTCCCCTTGTGGCAGGCAGGAGCAGAGGTGTTTGGGGGCTGTTCCTTGCAAAAGATGATAGGGAGAGGGTACACTTGATATGGTGAGAGACTTGGGTCTGAGCAACCCCCAGGCTGAGTGGACAGGCACAAGGAGTAGAGGTGTAGGGTTGGGGTGTTTTTTCCAAGTGTGCATCTTTGCCCTTTCTCTGCTGGGTGTCCTTTTCCCGTGTCACCAAAGTCTCTTGATCTGAATTCACCTGGGACTGCTAAGGACCAAGTCCCACAAAAGTATTCAAGGCTCAAAACAATTTTTTGGCTTGTTACTCCCAAATTCTTACCCACCTTTGCCTACCTGGCCCTTTTACTGACCGAAGCCAAAAGCAACCTGTTGCTGTCTGGGGTGCTGATGTGTGTTAATAGTGTTAATAATTCTGGCCCTTGCTTGAAGGAGTACTTCAGCAAGGTGTTAGCCATTTTATGGTTAACCATTTTACTTTTGACCATTTGGTCCTTTGCCTGTAGTTCAGGAAATTGGTGAATTGGGTTGGGGCAATCAGTTGGGTAGATTAGCACAGCTCTATTGAAGTCAGCTGTGGACAGCACAGTGCTGGGGTAATGCTTTCTGTGGGCTCACCTAGTAACATTTCTTCTTTTGTTTATATAAATATATGCACATTTCATGCTTCATTTTTCCTTTGCTGTTTACAGAGCCACAGGCAGCTGAGTGGCACCATCAGTGGCACAAGATCTTACACAACATCTCCTATCTTAATAACACAAAGTTAATTTGAGATTGCAGGTGTTGCAATATGTTGGTTCAGACATAATCACTTCCACATCCCTTTTTCTTGGTGAACAGCTAAGGTTTCTTTCCACTAGTCTGCATGCCTTTGGTTGAGACTGCACTTTGTGGACAGCAGATGTTCCCCTCTGGCTTGAGTGCCAAAAAAGATTTAACGGAAGATCAAAAAAGTGATGCTTGTCCCAGCCTCCAGCAGATGGACCACATCTGCTCTGGGCAGTTCCCATTGGGGCCCTTTGGAGTGGAGGCAGCCAGTGTGCCCCGTTCACCCCTCCACCCCAGCATTTGCTGCGAGCACAAAACATGGGGTTGGCCACAAACAAAAGAGTGCTGTGGTAAGCAAGAATGAGGAATCTTCTAGAATTTCTTTTTCTCTGGCTTCTTAAAGAAAATTTGTAGCCCATAATGTAGAATAAGAAGAAGCATATAGAATAATATTAAACTCTCACATGCAATCCTGAAACTGCAAGGTCAGTTTTGGCCTCCTGGGTCCAAAAACTGCAGCAGGAGCAAAGCCACCCTTCCCTGTGCTCCTCCCAGCTTCAGAAGAGCAAAACATCTGTGAAGAATGTTGCTGGCAGAAGTGTAGCTATGTGAAAACAGAGCACAAGAGAGATAGAAGCAAGAAATCTGCTGAGAGCAACTTGTTACTCTCTAGATTTTGGCAGATTTGACTCTTTAATGTCCTCTCTGGGAGTATCCTTTGGCATCCATCACCCACACCTTCCCCCAAGCTCAGCATTGCCAAGGTCCGTGGCTTTCATGTCACCCCCTCTTTAGTTTCTGTGCTTCCATAAAAGCCCTCTGTTTATTTCTCTGATCACACATTTGTGTTTTAAGACGTTGTGGTTTATGACCCAGTCAGGATCAAAACCAGCAACACTTCCAACTTTGCATTCATGTGTATCTCAAAACATGGAGGGATCGTCTGCCAGGGGAACTAGAGGGTCTATATTGAGACAAGCTGGCTTGTAGGGTGTAACCATGACCTACAGCAAAGAGCCTTGGAAACCTTCTGGATCAGGGTCCAGACTAAAGCTTGGCGAAGGGTTGTCCTCTTACGCAAAAGAGACCTAACTTCATGTGCAATTCTGCAGCAGTTCAAACCTCCCAGACTGGTGTGCAGCACTGTCTTCTTCATGTACAGTCTTCTCTCCTTCACAGGATGCTGAGGAGGAGGATGAGGAGGGAGTTGTCACCACCTCAGTGAGGGAAGGTGAAGGATGCTCCGTGCCGCAGCAGCCTTGCTCGTTGTGGAGGAGGTGGGAGGCAGCCTGGAAAGTGCTGGCTCCACGCTGTGACCCAAGGTGCCACCACCCCCAGCACCGCTACCACTGCCAAACAGGTAAGGGAAGCACCTTTCTTCTGGGTTGGCTCGTATTTCAGAATGAAATTTCCCAGCAGCACGGGGAGGTGAGGAAGGGAATCTTTTTTTTTCCTATAAAAGGATTCCCTGCCTGAATCCCATATATGGCACATGACTGGGATGACAGCGGGGGGAGGAATCCTATAAATCATATCACAGGGCAGGAGTCTCTCACTTTCTGCTTTTCCCCTCTGCCTTTGATATCTCCAGCCCTCTGACAGATTGCTGGAGCTGCTCTGAACAGGAATGCAAGGAGAAGAAAGCACTCCAATCACATTGACGCAACTCCATTCCTTCAGCAAGCTATATATACTTTTTTATTTTATAGTCATTTGAACAGCGGAGAGTTTGGCAATAATGACAGTCTTGGAAGTGTGCACTCTGCATTTGTGTGTGTGTGTATTTCAATCCCTCCAGCTTGGCTCCCACTCGGTGTTTTGGAAGACCTGCCATTGCGCTGTTTTTAAACAGAGCAGCAAATTGAAATACCTCTCCTATGGACTTCCCAAGAGCATCATGTCTTGACACCCCCAACCTGGCAGCACAGGGGATGTGACCTGAACTGGAGGGGTTATTGCAAAGCACCGGACTGCAAAGAACCTTTCAGCCAACAGCCAGCAAAGCTTTGTTAAGCTGTTGGCGTGCCCTGCACTTCTTTCCCATCATTGCTGTTTATTTCAGGTTGTTTTTTTTTTTTTTTCTTTAACCCTTTTCTCAGCAAAAAATTACTGAAGCCAGACCTGAAGCCAGGCATGACTTCATGGGCTCAAACTACTCAGCAGATTTTTGTTTGCTGAGGACTGTGCCTGATCAACAAATACTGGACAATTTCAGCTGGGTTTCCATCACTTAAACAGGTCAGATGATTCCCAAAGTTGCTGAAGTGAGTTGTCCTGGGGTTAATTTTCAATGCACAGTTGTTTTGTATATAGCAGCATATTCCCTAATAGCATTACATTTCTGTTATTTATGTAATACTTTCATCTTCTATTTCCAAGAACACATTTGACTGATTATGCTGCAAGTCGTAACTGCTTCCCCCATGATGCTGGAGCATTAAGCTTCTGATGGGATTTTTTTTTTAAAAGACCTGGCAGTGGGTCTTTCTCTCCCATGGAAATGAGTGAAACTGGATTCTGGCTGATGAGAAAAGGACCAACAAAGCAGGGAACACTTCTGGAAAAGGCACCTGCCTTCTCAGTAAGTCAACCCATGCCTGTTACTTGCTAATTCATTCATGCACAAAACTGGACTACTTGGACAGTTGGGCAGCTGGTACTCAGCAAATAAGCCCAATTGTATCTCTCAACACAAAGCAAGAATAACTCCCTCTGCTCGTTGAGACAGGACCTCAATCCCAAGAGCCTGAACTGGGCACTGTGAGGAACAAGGAGCTCCCATGGATTGCTGCCAGGGCTTATGGGGAAGCAAAATAGGAGAAGCAGAACCTAGCTATGCGGGTGTCCCAACAAAGCTCAGCAAGATAGGAAAGAACATTGCAGAGCAACAGCCTGGCACAGGTGAGGTGGCTGTTTGCCAGGTTGAACTGCTGCACTGGTTCTTTACTGAAATCACCAAGCTGTCCTAAAAAATTCCCTGTGTAAAAAAATATATCTATAAATCAAGCCTTAGTAAGAACAATGCAGCTGCTAACAGGGCTGGATGTTGCCAAACAAAATGCTCTAATGCTCTCTAATCTGACACCAAGCCGTGATGACTCTCTTTGCAAAGAGCAACTCTACTCAGACGTGTGTGTGCGTGTGTGCATACGTACATGTACACGTACACATACCTATAGCTTTATAATCCTGCTGCCAAGGGGGAAGACCGGGGTTGCGGACGGGCGAGGGGGAGCCCCTGCCACTACACGATCATGAACTGGCAGACGTAGGGCAGCTGGTCTTTGCACTTCTTGTCGAACCACTTGCCGATGGCAGCCCCCGACAAAGCTGCACAGTTTTCCAGCTTGCCGCCATCGGGCTGGGTGGTGATTTCAGTCTCCCAGTTCTTGTAGCGGACTGGGCCACCCGTCATGTCAACCCACTTGCCCTCTGATGCCATGTCATTGAGGCCCAGCCAGATCTCCACCTCGGAGCCGATGCTCTTGCGCATGTAGTCGTAGAGAGCATCATTCTCCTCCCCGTTCTGGGGGGTGCTGAGCGTGCCGCCCTGCGAGATGCAGTTTTCGCTGGCCTCATGGTACGTCTTGGTCTCCGAAAATGCAAGAAAGCACTTTAGGTGAATTTTGGTGCCTTTCAGGCAAACTGAGAGGTTACCACACGAACAGAACAAAAAGACAGAAAGGGAGTTGGTTTTAAAAATGGCGCTCAGGAAGAGGCAGCAGCAGCAGCAAACACAGCAGCCAAACTGCAAACTTCATTTCTTGGACTGCAGCTCATGGTGCCACCCTCAGCAGTACGGGGGTCCTGAGGCCCTCTCTCTTCTACAGGGGGCATGGCCATGGGGATGTGCCCTCCCTGTCTGCAAACCATGAGGAAAAATGGACCTCAGGGTGCTCCTGCCACCCTCCTGAGCTCTGCTGCTGCCAGAGCAGAGGCACAGTGTGGTCCTTTTGCCCCTTCCCCCCGGCTTTGCCCTTCCCCAGCTGCTGCTACGCTTTCTCTGATGAGTTTTTTAGAAGCAAGGTTGGTTGTGAGCACTGCCAGGGTGTTGGAGCGTTTTGAAAAAAAAGTCTGCAATTTCAATTCAATCATCTTAATTATGCAAGCTTGAGGAAAATGTCTTTTTTAATAGGCTTTGATCAGAAGTGTGGTGCTTGCATAGCTTGAGGTCTTCAGAGGAAATTTCTATTTGCCTCTGATTTTATTGTTAAGAATAGCAATTTATTTTATTTTTTTAAAGCTCTAAACCCTGAGAGTACAGGGTACTCTAGCCAAACAATAACTAATCAGAGCCACACACTAATATCCAAACCAATGAATCTGAGCTTGGATCTAAGGCCTTGATTTTGCTTGTGTTCCTTTTCTTTTAAGGGAAAAATTCTCCTTAACTTGCATTTCCATCTCATTTCTGTTTTGTGTTCTGCAAACCCCTCTCCCATTGATGTCAGTGGAGTTTGCACAGAATAACTGTGGAGTATGACTGGAAGATGGACATTTTGGGACTATCCTCTGTATGTGTTCAGTGAAGCATGGTGGGACTGACCTCCAGTGAGGTTCCCTGGGCAATACAGTGGTATGCACAAGAGACCAGGTCACCATTTAACTGGGGTTCACACAAAACAGTAAGCTACATTTGACTAAAGCACAGACTAATCCATTTCCCATCCTTCTAACCAACAAAGGAAAATGAACATCTGGCTCAGTGTCATAGAAATATCCATAGCTTCACAAGTGGGAAGCTCTAGCACGTAAAAAGGGGGAGCCGTACACTGCACAACTCATGTCATTAGCTGTCTGAGGAGCTTCAGCTCCCTGGAGGAACTGCAGCAAGACCACGCTTTGCTTTGATCCCCCAACCTCTCTCCCCATAGTGGACTCCCTGTTGTGGGGCACTTGGGCATCTCTTGTCAAAAATGTGTGGAGCAATTGTAGCCACTTTATAAGCAGCTCCTCTCTCAAAGCAAAACCTGTGCCTTCTTCAGTGAGTTCTTTACCTGTCTGGAGTGCTTGCTTTTCCTTCAGTAGAGCAACCTCCTGAGAGATGTTGTCAATCATGGCCTTCAGGTCTTCAATCATTTTGAGGCTCACACCATCTGCTGGAGAAACCAAGGGAGGACCATAAACATCTGGCTGCATCCTCTGGGTAGGCAGCCGAAGCTGTTCTGATCATCAAAACTCCCTGTTTCTCTGCCCTCAGAGAAAGACAGACAAAAGGGGTCTGCAAATGCCCCTTGCACATCCATCAGAGTGAGTGTTTGCTCAGTAGCCTGTTTCCACTATCGACTCAGTTTGGGTTTCGGGGCTTCATACCCCATGGGGCTTCATGGGGTGGGGGTTTCCCCTTGGGCTCCTGCTGCAGTGCTGAGGTGGGGAGGTCACACGCACGAGTGTTGCAAGGTGCAGGCTCGTCTCTGGAGCCTGTATGTAGGACACTTGCCTGGGCTGTTGCTGCACTGGGGTCAAGTTCCCAAAATTCAGGAGGGCACTATCTGATGCTACCCCTCCTGAGCAGGAGTTCTGTCACACACAAGTGTTTTGTGAGGAACTTAAAGCTGCTGATGAATAGGATTTATTTTTTTTCCAAAGCCTCAAAAAACATGCCTTCCCTCTATATTCACAGCACACCCTCCTGGCTTCCCTTAAACACCCGAATACATGACTTTCTCTGAATGCTCTCCTTGCTGTGCCCCTGCATTAGTCTGCTCTCACGGGTGCATTGGCAGGAAAGCACTTTGCTCACGAGGCTGATGCTCAGCTGGAAGGGCTGCAGTACCTCCGCTAGATCTGCCCCTGCACCACCAGCCACCCCATCGCTCAGCTCTCCAACCGCAGTGTCCCTCAGGCCATCGCAGCTGCCTCTGCCCTCAGTGTCCCCAGTGCAGGTACTCAAAAACTGGCCAGAGCTGCCCTGCCACTGCAAGAAGATGCCTCCTTGGCTGGGGAATTGGTTGCAGCCTGCTAGTAAAGCCTACATCTTGCTAGGTGTGTTGCCTCTGCAACAGCTCCAACCAGCTATTAATCAGCATTTGGGTTTCTCCTGTCTAGGAGCAAAAGGGCTGTTATGTCTTGGAGGTGGTGGAAGATCGGACATAGAGGCATTTGTAGTCATTACACTATCTCTGCTGCTCCTATTGCTTTACCTCACCTGGCATAAGCATCTGGTAGTCCTCATGAGGTGAAAGAAAAGAGGACAATTTGCCCAAATGCAATAGGATGGGCTTCCTTGAGGGTCAAGGAGATGGGGAGCCAAGGCACCAAGCCAAGCAAGTGGGGAAGCAGCTTGGATGCAGAGAAAAATCATCAGCCCAAAGATTACATGGTGCCATGAATATGAAAAGCCAGACACATCAGGAGAAGGGAATTAAGCTGCTTTACTCATTGCTCAATTAACTTTAATGGGTTCACTTAGCACTGAAGCACTAGTTATTATTTTGCTGCCTTTGATGAAAACATTTTGTGGGAAACAGCTAACCAATGCCCTTTTTTTTTTTTCCATGCAAGCCTGTCTTGCAGCACAACAAATGTCGCTTAGGTTTAAGCAACATCCAAGGGCCATGGCAGGATGGCATGAATCTTGCTGGGGCAGCTCCTTATGTTGTTCCAGACAGGTTTGCTGGTGGGTTCCCATCTAGAGTGTCCCTTCCATGCAACATGACCATCGTTTCCTTGAGAACTCCCTAAGTGCCCTGTCCCTTTCCACCACCTCGTTTCCAAATCCTGAGCCACAAGATGTTCTTACAGCAGCACGTTTACCAGGACGTCGTGGCGAGAACTGGGAGTGGTTAATTTGCCCTTCAGCTACAAAGCGAGTACCATGGCTACGTCAATAGCTACTGTGTTTTCTATTTTATTGCCAGAGGTTTTTGTCTCTGCGCTGTCATTTCCTCAAGGCTCGCCTCCTGAAGCCCTTGATCAAGGCTATTTACAGCCTGGGTTTGCTGCGACTGAAGCCAAGGTGGGGGCTGCCAATGCTGCCCGTGGGAGCTGGAGTGGGTCCTTGTGCAGCTGCCAACCATGAGCAGCAAGATTAAGCACAGACAGAGACAAGATGAAAAGGAGACTCATAGAAGGATGTGGGTTGTGACAGTCTGTTGGTTTGAAAGCCTAGCTAGTAATGTATTTGACGCTGCAAATGGGAGCTCTTGCCCAGTTTTCCTTGTTCTAATTACTTGCTGAATAACAAAAAAATCCCTCTCTACTTGATTTTGATTATTTAACTATCCCTATATAAAATTTGGGTCTATATCTGGGTTGGTTAGCTTTGCCTGGGCAGGCATCATCCAGTTTGTTCCCATCTGAACAGGTTTCTGTCCCACAGCAGGGCGAGCGTTGCTCTGGTTTACAGTGTCTGTCATCAAACCTCCCCGGCCATCGGTATTTCTTCTGACACCCGGCATTTCCACAAATGTCCCAGTCAGAAAAGTCAGGTCCTGTATTGCAGTTTGTTCCCTGGACCAGAGGAGGGGACCGAACACAGCCACATTGGGTTTGTATCAGTGTAAATGTTCCCAGGCATTTTCAGGGAAGAGCACCTGGACTACAAGATTACACCAAAATTTTGGGCGGCATCAGGAGTGGAGCCCAATCAGTCCCTATCCACCAATTTAAGCATCTGGACTATGATCTCCATCTCCAGTTACCTTAAAAATATATGTGAGAGCTATGCAAAGATACTCCCTCCCATGCCCCCTGCACCCTGCTGTGGCTGTGACCAATGGAGCCCCCCCAGGGCCAGTGGGTCCCCAGCCTGCACCCCCAAGATGGGGAGTGCTATTGCCCACCTCCCCTGGGCACCCTTCTGGAAGAGACCCCCAGGGCCGCTGGAGGAGGGCAAATCCTGCCTGCCCCCCAAGACATTGGGGTCCAGGGAGCATTTGCTGAACTGCTGCCTCTGAAAAAATCACTGGGGAGAAATATGAGGGGGGAAAAGCCCAACAGCAGACAAAGTGAATGTGTTGTCTCAGCATTTTCTAAATGCTATGGTTTGGCTTTTTCATGTTGAAACAGCACCACTCTGGTTCTGAACCAGATCTAAATGTAAGCAATAATTACCAAAAAAAAAGGAAGAAAAACACAACAAAAGAAAAAAAAAAAAAAAAGTTTAAAAAAGAGAAAAAGCTTGGCTCGAGCCATCGTTTTCTTTTCTAACATTTGTGGTTTGGCTGCACAGATTAAAAAGAAATAAATCCAGCCAAACACCCCAACCCTCCAGTGGCTTCACCCTGCCCAGTCCTCCCCAGTGAAGGGGGCCAGGGATGGGGATGGGGCCATCCTGCTGAGCCCCAGCCCCTGTGGAGGGGGGGGAG